AAGGATTAGAACTAGAGCAAGGATTAGAACTAGAGCAAGGATTAGAAAAGAACTATCATAATCTTGCTAAAGATATTTGGTGCTTGAGCAAAACCATAATAGACTTATCATGCTCTACCATGCACAGTGGAGAGCCCAATGATCTTTCTAATACCACACAAAGGCAATCAACATTTTGATTGAGTATTTTTAACGTAATAGGAGAAAGATGGATGCAGTTAGAGTGAGGACAGAGGATGCAGAAGACAGAGTGAGATGGAGGAAGATGACTGGCTGTAAACAGCTTAAAGAAGAAGACGAAGACGATAGTGGGTTGATAGTCTATTTTAATGGTGGCTTTAATTCTTGTTGCAGAAAAACAACAGATGCCTATTCACCTGTTAGGTGTGTCTTTTAATTTGAAGTTATTAATGAAAAGGTGCTATTTACATTGAAGCAAGAAGGAACAAAACATAATTATCATCTACTAAAGCTAAAACTCTAGTGAAGTGACAAGAAAAGAAGATGAATAGTATATTTCCTCAAATTGAAAATGTCCATTTTTCAGGTTTTTTTTTGTGTAATAATATGTATATAACATAATAATTAGAATAATTTTGTTTGATTTGCTTGCCTAAAATAATTTATAAAGGCACAATAACTCTAGTTGCCTGATTGAACTTAGTTTATTATATAGTTTTAGTTGAAAACAAGGTAAGGGGTTAGCACACCACGAGTCTGGTGACTTACAACCACCTCCTCCATACTTCAGTCCTATTATGAGACCCTTCTTTAATTAATGACCAATTATTGTGGTTAGTCTACCACTAGATTGATGAATTACCAGAGATTGGTTAAAAAAAATGTACATTTCTGAAGACTATGGATGCATACTGCACCAATATTTTATAGTCACATGTTCTTTAGTAATATTATTGTCTCTGGACTCAAGAGTTGAATTTATAGTCAGACAAACTCAAAATCTTTAATGGAGGTCAGTGCTGGATTAGAAAAGGTGTATTTTTATACTAATGATTGGCTAAATTTAGCTAAGTTTTAGAGCTTTCTCCTCTAAAAGCTGATTTGAATAGTGACAGACACTGAAAAATTCAAGCTTGGTTCAATTTTGTTTTGTATGAAATACAACAGCAAATATCAGGGGATCTAGTGCAGCCCATTTCATTGTAGTCCTTCATAATACTTTCTTACACAATGTTTTCTGGGGCCGTAGTAATGGTGGAGTGGAAGACAACTCACCTGTCTTCTGGTTAGACTTAGTTCATAACATCACTGACTAATAAAATTACAGAGATGCAGTGGCAGTCTGGAAAACAAAGACTGTGTTGTACCACTACAAAACTTCTCAGATTAACTGGCAGCCGAATCTATTCACTAAATTCAACAGGAGAACCCAGGGGAAGAAATACAAGTAACAGTTCAGATCTTTTAAAGTTGGGTTCTGTAGGAAGTCATTCACTCATTCAACCTTTATGTATACAGGTTTAAGCCCCCAGTATACTGCCGCGTACGTTCATACGCAGAGGTACACACGTACGTACGTGGAGGTACGAGCCTACACCCCAGCGTACCCTCCGTGCAAAGCTCAAATTTCTACAACCGCATATGCGTACGCGGTGTCGCACAATAAACTGCCCAGCGACGGACTGTTTTGTATGCGACACCAATGTATTCAATTCCCCTTCTTCATCCCTGATCTGGCCTTTTCTTTTGTTTTTTGCCAAGAGGCAGTGATCTCTTCCTCCTCCGTTGATGCCATGACTGAAATGGTGAGAAATGGAGGAATTTGTCACGAGCGAATTATACTCAGGTCCAGCGTGGCTGCGGGGGGGTCTGAAGATTTCCTGGTGGGCTGGTCTAATGTGTGGGCTGCAGGGCCAGTGCTCTCTGCTGTTTTTTTTTTTTTTAGATCTTTTTATTAACAACATATAAACACAGAACACCGCTGTGGCGGAGGCTGCCAGCGCTCGCTTTTTTCTTTTTTCTGACCTGTCAATCAATCCAGTAGGCGTGTCAGCAAATGACAAATCGGCGACCTCAATTTGTCCCGAAGGTAAACGCCCCTTGTCTGTGAAGCTGCTCTGCAGCAGCTCGGGGTGTACGCTGGAGTATCATGTCTGAACCCTCTGCGTACTGTACACGCGTATGTACACATGAACGGACGAACGCGGCAGTATACTGGAGGCTTTAGTCCCATTGAGCCTCGGGGACTCATTTACAAGAAAGACCTGATTTCAACAAAGAGTGATGACAACAGTGGACTACAACAACAACAATAGACAATCATAAAGGATAAATTGAGATGGGTTTTTTTTTAAACAAGTGAATATAAAATAATAATTAACAGAAAATTTAACAAAAAAAAAAAACAGCTGGATTATAAGGTGGTGTAGAAAACTAAAAACAGGAACATGTCTGCATTGGTCCCTGTCAGGAGTACAACAGATTCTTAAAGACACTTAGAGAGGTCAAAGGTCGAGAGCTTCAAATCTTTTTGTAAGATATTCCAGGAAACAGGAGCAGAGTAGGAGAAGGTCCTTTTGCCTAGTTCAGTCCTCACTGAGGGAACACTGCAGGTAATAATGTCCTGAGAGCGCACGCTGTAGCTGCACTCACGCAGAGACATGTAGGAGGAGATGTATGAAGGCAGCAGACCAAGAAGTGATTTAAAGATTAAAATGTACCAGTGGGAGAGTCTGCGTGAAGTTAATGATGTCCAGTTAACCAGTGAATACTGGGTGCAGTGGTGGGTACGATAATCACAGCCAGTTATGAATCTTAGTGCACCATGATAGACAGCATCCAACATCTGCAGCATCCAACATCTGCAGCATCCAACATCTGCAGGGTTCTTGTAGGAGCGTTCATGTAAATAATGTCACCGTACTCGATGGAGGGAAGGAAAGTCACAGATACAAGGTGTTTCCTAACATTCAGGGTTAGACAGGATCTGTTTCTGAAAAAGAAACCCAGTTTAACTTTCAGTTTCTTTACCAAGTTTTCCACGAGAAGCTTAAAAGAGAGAAGTGAGTCGACCAAGATACTCAAATATTTATAGGAATCAACAAACTCAACTGGGACACCATTTCAGGATTAAATCAGAGGAAGAACTGCTGGGACCAACTTCATGTTTGAAAAAAGCAATTGTCATGAACCATTATCATGTCTGGTGATGAAGATAGCACTTTGCACCACGGTTTAGAGAGAAAGTGGTTAATAGTGACAAGACTGATCAGCTCGTTTGAGCGGGTCCAAGACCAAAGTGGATCATTGGCTCCAACCTTAGAAAAGAGATTATAGCAGTTTATGCAAACACTAATGTATACATTTTTATTTCCAGAAACTTTGCATTACACCATTATTTAGAAAAAAGTATTTGAGATTTTGTTATGGTAAATAGCAGCATTAGCAGTTTGCTGTAGCACGTCTGCTATAGCCTGTTGCACTTCCTGCAGAAAAAGCATATGATGTGTCTAAATGATGCAACAGCAGCGTAAAGGTTTGTACAAACACGTTCAACTCTGTGATATCCTTTAGAGCTGTTTACTTTGCTCATGTCTTCGCTTTTACTGAACAGATCACATGTCGATAGAAACATTTCTGATCTTTATTAAAATCTTTATTTACACAAGTTTAGCTCATTTCTAGGCTGGGACAATTATTTTTACAAAATAAATTACATTTAATAATAATAATAATAATAAAGTCATCACAATGTCAGCACAGTATGTTTCCATACAATGGCGAAATTAGTCTCTGCATTTAACCCATCCGCCACCAGGTGGTGCAGTGGGCAGCTATTGAAAGCGCCCGGGGGACATTTTGGGGATTAGACGTGCTGCCCAGAGACGCCACGTGATGTGCAGTGACTGGGGATCGAACCTGGGACTCTCGGGTCCCAAGCCGGCTGCCCTGCCTCTACACCATCTCAGCCCCAATATTTCCCATCCTTAATTGGATTACCACATTATATACTTTTAGTAAATGGACTGTACTTATGTAGTGCCTTTCTATCTAGTCAAGACACTCAAAGCACTTTACAACAATCTGTGCCACATTTACCCATGCATACAGCTCTATACTAGATCTCTACAAAGCTAATTGAACAAATCCTTCACCTTTAGTCTTAGTCTTTCTGCCTAAAAGCACATTGAAGTAAATCGGGATGTTTTTTTATTTTATTTTATATTTTTTATCTCATGATTGAACTGAAGACTGTTGCTGTTTGTGTCTGCATGCTGCGATGCTTCAGGAGCTAAGAAACGCTCACAGCGAGGAGATCATGGGTATCAGACGAGAGGAGGAGATGGAGATGTCAGATGACGATTCAGATGAAATTCCCAGCAAGAGGATGCGCTCAGAGGAAAACGGTGCATTAGACAAAAGTTATCTTCCAACCACTCATATCTTTCTGAAGAATTTAAATGACACGTAAAATCAAGCATGTAGGCTGTTAATTACAAACATAATTTATATTTTTGAAGTTGTGTTTTGCTATTTTTCCTTTATTTTGACTTGGGCCCTCCTCCCGCAGGAGTGTGTGATCAGACTCAGGCCTCTCTGAAGGAGGAGAACGACTCGCTGCGCTGGCAGCTGGACGCCTACAGGAACGAAGTGGAGCTCCTGAAGAACGAACAGACCAGAGGCAGCCATCCAGATGATGATCACACACAAACACACACACATGCTCACAGTCCTGAGGCGCAGATCCAGCTGCTGCAGCAGAGCATGCATAGCATGCAGCAGGTAGGCTTCATTCACCAACACTTGTGCCCAACAAACACTAATCTTAGAGCTAAATTAACTTCACACCAGCATTTTTTATGCACAGTGTTCATTTTTTTCATGATGAATGTGTGATAATATACAATACAGTACTGATACAAAAGTGAAAATATGTTTTTAATTGTTTGATAAAAGCACTCATGACAACACACCTGTCTTTTTTCTTCTCGTGCAAATACCTTTGTGCAGAACAGCTTCATCTCTGGCACTTTCAGTTGCTTGCAACTTGTTTTAAAGCGGAAGCTTTTCTCATGTACACTGTCTTCCCAGCTGACTCAGAGGCCTCCCATAATCTCTCGCTCCACTGACTCTAAAAAAGAAGCACGGAAAGCTTTGTCAGAGCGCAGCTCTCATTTTGCACAAATTAGCTTGATTTGACCAGACTTCCTGTCTTTCTCAATCTGAAGTGACAGCACTGATAGGCTGAGGCACATTCGACTCAACCACTAACACACACACACACGCACACACATGCACACACATGCACACGGGCCAAAGTCACCCTGCTGTCACCACTTGTTTGTCGCCTGCTGATGTTCTTGTTCCCTCACGTCAGACAAGCAGCTGCAACAAACAAATTAGGCACTTAGCTGAAATTAAAATTTTCCCTGTCTACACTTTACTTGAAGGGTTGTGCAAAAACATGACATCACCACAACTAAAATCATACATTATGCATAGAAAGAAATTAGAAGTAAAAATAAGACGTCTGTGTATTGAGAGCATGTATCATCTCATTCACACCTTTATAAATAAAATATTACCAGCAGGATACTCTGGACCACAACCAGGGCTCATCTCAGTGCTTGTCTCGTTCTGTGGAGTTGGAACCCTAGATTCAGAAAGATGTGGGGAACTCGAAGATGAAATAAAGACTTTTAATTTATTAACAATAGATCAAAAACAAAGGCTGACATGGCACTAAAACTTACAAAATCACAGGATCAGGGAGACATGGAGGAAGACAGAGCGTGACGGCCGTGGGAAGCACAATACACGAACAAGGAGGAAACACAAAGACATTGAACTTAAAGGGACACTAAAGAGACACGATGATGAACACCTGGGGTGATTGGGACTGGGAACAGGTGAAGCAGGAGCTGACCACGTGAGGGAAGAAACACTGATGAAGGAAGAACAGATGATACAAGAAAACACAAAGATCTCAAGACAAACATATTCTCACAGCTTGAGCCATAAAGTACAAATAAATCAAAGTTCTCCAAGTGATTTCATTGTTTTATTAGCTCACTGTAGAGGTCTGCAGAATTGCAAACAAAACTAAATTGTCATTCATTTTGAATTATAGGTGCAGGCGGTATGGCAAAAATTCAGTATTACAATTGTTTTTACAATAAAATCACAACTGTATTTCAATTTCTGTTATTTTGCATGCTACAAAATAGTGCAACCAAAGTATTTTTCTTTCTGAAAACATAGCCCTATAAATAAAAACACATATAAAGAACATTTAGAATGTTTAGAACCTTTAGAGCCTTTAGAACAGTGATTCTCAAATGGTGGGTTGCAGACCCATTTTTCAGTGGGCAATGGACCTCTGCCTGGGCCCAAAAAATGTAAAAAAATAAAAAAAATAAATAGAATAGAAGTAGTCCCTGTCCAGATATGTCTTTGTAGAAGCCAGAATGCCTTCCAATGAACACGAGACTATCTGTGAAGACATTATCTGTTCATGTGTGAACAGTGTTGTAGGAAATATATCAGACAGACATCAGATGTGCCGGTACTTCAGAAATCACAGGTTTTGGTGCTTCTGGAGAAGGGTGTCACTATTTCAAGAACTTTGGTGAGCCAGCCAGGAGTAGAGCTGTCATTTCTAACCCGGGCCCGAAGCTCGGCCCAACCCAAATTTAGGCCGGGCCGAGCCATAATAATGTGCTGGATGGGCGGGCTGGGTTGGTGTCAGGCTTTTGATTGCGTCAGCAGACACGTGCGGCCGACGACCCAACCAGGTGAGATCCCAAAGCAGACATGTCAGAGCAGGGCCTGTGTGTGAATAAATCAGAATGCAGCGGAAACAGGGATTTAATGAGCTTTGACACCCATGAAAGGACAAACACCCCCTCAGCTCCGATCTTCTGCCCCTTTTATTCATCCACGCGTCCGCAGACCGTTAATAACTGTATAAGCAGCAAAAGCTTCATTTACAATGTCGGGAATTTTTACCAATATTGGTATCGTACCGATATCGTAAAAACTTCTGGATTGGATATCTGTGACAACGTGATCGATCCATGACTGGGCAGATCTATTCACTCTAACTCTGCTTTGTGCTCTGAGTGACGTCACGTGCTAACGTACTGACTGAACAAATTAAAGTTGTTTTGTTTTTACATGTTTGACCGAGCTGTGAAGCTCTTGGTGTGTTTAATGTGCTGTTCTGGTGCAGAGTTGTCAATCAATTTGTACTTCAGTACATTCATGTCTGTGTTTAACAAAACAAATGTTTTAAGTTAATTCAGCACTGGGTTAGTGAGCTCAATCATCCAGGTAGACGACAACAACAATGGCTAAATCAAGTCATCTGGACCTGTTTCTGAAACAGGTTCAGATGACTTGATTTAGCCATTGTTGTTACTTCAGCACAGTTTTTTCAGATCGGTGTCGGATCAGTATCGGCCGATATGAAACAGGTATCGGATCGAAAGAAAAAAGTAGATCGGTGCATCCCTACTAATTACTGTTAATTTGTCAGGTTGGGTGGGGTTTGGATATTATGGCTACGGGCTGAGTCTGGGTCAGATATTTTGGGCTCAAATGCAACTCTAGACAGGAGCACAATAATATTGTGGTTATTATTTATTTCCTAATGAAACAAAGAACACAAAGGTTGACAACTTGATAGGACTTTCTTTTTTTATATATCAGTGTCACGGTTGGGTTTTTGGATTCAAAATAGCCAGACACAGGAGTGCAAAAACAAGAACAGGTTTTATTATTGGCTGTGGGTGAGAAGCCAGGATCAGCAGTGTTAACAGGTCCTCACAGGTTGTAGGGAGAGAGTCACCTGTCAGGACCGCAGCGATGACGTCACTGGTCCTGTGCAGAGCAGCTGAAATAACGTGGCTTGAGGGGCAAATCCAATAACGGGGTCCGGTTGTTAAAGCAGGGGTCATGAACAGGAAGACAGAGGTCCAGATACAAAATCCAAAAACGTAATCCATGAAGCGTGGTTTAGTAGAGGGAACAAGGTGTGCTACCATGGCCAGAGAGGCAAACAAATCCAAAAGGAGCAGGCAAGGCGAGGAGTCCAAAAACAGGTGAGGGGTCAAGGCAAGGATGCATGGCATGAAATAGGATACTAAGATTAAAGGCTTCAGAATCAGGGACCGTGGAAGGTATAATAATTCAGCCCGGTGGAGAGGGAGAATGGAGTTTATAAAGGGTGCAGAGCAGGTGAACTAGATGAGCTGAACAGGTGAGTGGAATCAGGGCTGATGAGCTGAAAGTGCAGAGGGGGGTGTGGCTAATGACAGAGGAAAAAACAGCATGATGACAAAGAGGAGCAGAAACATGACATGATGGGGCTGTGAGTGTGAGACAGGGGCTGATGGGGGGTCAGCGGGGGCCGCTGATCGTGACAATCAGATCTACTACAAAAAATAATAAACTGTTTGACATCATTGGAAGTCTTAGAAAAGCAAACTCCTTCTCCAAAAGTATAAGGATCAAAACTTTCTTCATATGTTCCTAATGTCAGTCAACACAACATCATTCACATTTGATAACCTCAGATTAAGTCATATTTCAGCATTTATGTTTTCTTCTTTTAAGTGGAAAACTGTATATGACCCCCTCACATCAAACCAAGGATTTGTTGCAATGTATTGTAATAAGATAAAAGCAGCTACAATGCATTGGTAAAAAAAAGTTTTACAATTACAGAGTTTTGTTGAAATATGATTAATAAATACCTTAACTATGGGGCCCTTGAATGAAATGCTTAAATTATAATCCTAAAGTATAATTTGAAGCACTTTTCTGAGCAGTACCATCAAATAACGATAATTTTGAGGAGAAAGTCCTAAATTTTTTCTGTTTCTCCTGTGAGCTAGAGAAGCTATTTTAAACACAGCTGAGAAATCCAGAATTCAAAAAATGGTTTGAGGTTTTCTCTTTCAAATGACGTCTAGAAATCCTCATTAGAATGCCCTAAAGATAGGATTCAGATCAAGATACCAGGGGTATTTCCAACTAGCAAACCATACAAGTTGGAGGAGGGGGCGTACCAAAGAGACCATCTTATCACAAGCAGAACTGGTTTGTTCCACTTTGGCGTAAGCTGTTGGGGGAAGAATCAGTTTTGTTGTGTGTTTCCTTGACTGATGAAGCCTTCTGGATCGAAGGCGAAACGTTTCAGCACAAAAAAAGAAACTGTCCAGATGACCTGACTGAAAAATGTTGGATTTTATACCTGGATTATTGAACATGGACTTTGTTGTTTTCATACAAAGAACCAATAATGATATCAGGCTGATCTTTGTATCAAAATGTAGCTTAAACCAGCAGGAATCTGAAAGTGGGCGTAGTTTAGTTTACTGTATCTGACTAAATCCCAGGTTTGATGTGATGGTTCATATATGAGAATATGATTAAAGCTTGGAAAACTTTATCATTATTTACTTTATAAAAAGCTAATCACATCATCATGGAATTGTGTCTTAGGCTAAATGTTTTTCTGTGTTTCTCTGTCAGCAACTCTTGAGTCTTCAGGAGAAGCTGTCGAAAAAGGAAACTGAGCTGGAACAGGAACGAGATGAGCATCGCTACATGGAGGTGGAGCTGCTCTCACTCAGAGGCAAGGTGTGTCCTCACTGTCACAACTAAATGGACCTCTGTATAACCACAAATACTCCAGAGAACTGGATGCTGGTCAGTTTGTTCTTCTGCCAAGTTGCACCCTACACATGTATCTAGTAGCTCCTGTTTTGTACACAATTTGTCGTTTTGCACCAATAGGATGTGAAATAGTAGCTGTTTTGAACCAAGGTAAGCATAAAAGGGCCACGAGGTGTGTACAAAGAGACCAACAAAATGTGGGTGCACGCACGGTGACTGAAGCTGTTGGTATGAACGGGCAGGTACAAAGTGACCCAGATCCAAAATGACCACTCATGATCAGACCTATTAAAATTTTTCAGTTTATTGAGGTCTTTTAGCAAACTGTACATAAAGTCTTACAGTATGTTGTTCTGGCTATAGGTGTAAGGTAGTTTAATGTGCATAAACCAATAATTTATTATATAAACAGCACTAACTTTATGATTCTAGCAATGTTTTTCCCTCTATATGATGGAGCAGATACTTTTGTTGGTTGTACTGAATTAACCAAGCTGAAAGTCTGTCTGCAGTGTGGCTATTTGCACAATTTAAGTTTTTTGGGGGGGCTTGCCTTCTTATTGATGCCTCCATTTGGCTCCTGTCATCACCTAGTTAATAATCAATTTAGTTACTTCCATCCATCCATCCATCCATCCACCCACCTCTTCCAGTTCTTCTGGTAGGATTCCAAGGCATTCCCAGGCAAACTGAGCGATATAGTCTCTCCATTGTGTCCTGGGGCCCTCCCACGGGTCTCCTCCCAGTCGAACATGCCCAAAGCACCTCCCTAGTGGGATGCCTAGGGAGCATCCTTACCATTATCAGATGCCTGAAGCACCTCAACTGGCTCCTTTCGATATAGAAGAGCAGTGCTTCTACTCAAACTTATTATTATTATTAGACCTTTATTTATACAGGTTACTTCCCCTTGAGCCTTGAAGACTAATTTACAAGAGAGACCTGTTACATACAACATACAGGCAGATGAGAAAAAGAGAACACGAGGATTAGGGGTGGGCGATATATGGCTCAAATACAAAGTATAATATTGTGATATTTCAGAGCATTCTGACGATAGCAATAAATTCTGTGATATAACAAAGAAAACAAAGAAAACACAGAAATCATAGTTACTTATTTGACACAATTAACTTAACATGTTACTTTGCAGTAATATATAAAATTTTAAAAGAACAAGGGGTAATTTTACTGAATTTACTTTATTTAGTAAAATATTCAGTCTCCAAGTATAAAAATAAAAATAAAAATGATCCTTCTGTTATTTAGATTGAAAACGTCTGCACAAAATATAGATCAATAAATCCACCACAAAAACTAAAGTGCAGGTGAAGTTTCCCAAAATAACTATAAAATGAAGCTTAAGATCTGTTGAGCATAAATGTAACATACAACAAAATATATGTTTCCTTTAAATGAGCTATAACTTCCAGAACTTGACAAGGTGTCTTCAGCTGAGCCTGAAGCTTGTGGTGTTTCAGCTTCTTCTGTTCCTGCAGGAATGATTCAATTCTCTGATGCTCTGTCTCTGATCACATGATGGTTCCTGGTCCATGGACTGTGGAACTAAGAAACAGTTTAGCTGCGTGTGTTTGTACCGGCAGTTTAGAGCGGGGGAGACACAGCCTGCATCGGCAGCTCAGAGCGGGGTGGGGAGTGGGGGGAAGGGAGAGACAGTTGAGCTGTCTGTACATGCAGTTTAGAGCTGAATGGAGAGACAGCTGAACCATGTGTTGTTTGTTTTTAGCTTTTTAGCTAGCTAGTATTGCGTGCAATTAATTAGCATTACACCAGCACCGACAGGTGGGGGGGGGGGGTGTAATTCGGTGTGGTCTTTAGGTGCGCTCGGTTCTGTTAAGGGGGCGGGGCGCCCTGACGTATTACGTCATGAAATTAGCATATCATGATATTTATTTGCTCTGGAAAGATTTTTTTACCAGTGTGGAGTTTTATCAAACTTTATTGTTCAATAAAATTTAGCAGACAGAGAACTTTGTTAAAAAACACGTAGCAAGGTTTATTTCTCTTCTGCAGAAGGGAGAACACATGAAATGGAAATGCAGCCCAAGAGTTCTTGTGTGTTCTCCAAAAACATGAGCAGTACAGTCTCATTTATACACCTTCACATGTAACATGTTTTGATACAACAGGCACTCATTTGCAATCTTATCAGAGTAAAAACAGTCAGTACGTTTGTGGTCAGTGACTGGTTCTGGAGATGGGTTTGAGAAACGGAAGTTAAAAGGTTTCACACTGATGTTGGAGAGGTACAGTTTCTACAGTTTTAGATAAGCTTTAACAGAGTGTGATATAAAGTAAATGACTAATAAGAGTGATGATAAAATTGATGAACAAAATAAACTGGCATCAATGGTTACAAAGTACTGATCCTTTCTGAGACTCAGAGCTAAAACTGCAGGCAAACACTTTAATTATCATTTTAAAGTAAACTGTAAATTGTGTAAACATATCAAACTTTTATATTAATAACCCAGAAAATATCAACAATTCCTCCCTTTTGTTCCCATCAGGAACAACTACAATAAAACAAGTATTTGCAAACAGAAGCTCAGACACTGATAAAAGGAACATCAAGGCAAATGTGGCATATGGAGTATGGTTTAACATATGGCTATCATAAACATCAGTTAGAAATCTGCTAAGGCTGTTTTTGTGGGGAACAGATCCCTGTAATGAGAGCAAGCAAAAGTAAAAGAAATCATAAAAATAAAATGACAAAATTGTAAAAAGCAAAAACATAATAAAACAAAATATTTACATAATGGTTGTCTTCTTGTTGGTCAGGACAAAAACAGTAGAGTGGGTGGGTGGGTTACACTTATTGGAATCAGGATTGACATTGTTATGTAACAGGGCATAGGTTTCTGCCAGGTGTTCAGGAGTGAGGGCAGTCGAGATCAGACGTGTGGACAATGAGCAAATACAAGGTATACAACAGCAACCACAAGTTATTAGAATGGCTAAACAAACTCCTATGGAGATATTTGATAGCTTTGAAGAGCTGGTACATGACGTAACACTTGTGAATATCCTTCAGAAGAGAGCCTTTCTTTATCAAAGCGTGCAGGTCCGTATCCATGTATTCAAAGATGAGGTAAATGTCTTTATCATTTTGTGCTTGGATGATGTTGAGAAGCTTTGACATTGTTGACGTGATCTCCAAACTCCTGGAGGAACATGATTTCTCTGTATGTTCGCTGGGCATCTGTTCTGTTTCTGAAAGCATCAAAGATTTTCTTCACTGCCACGATCTCCCCAGTCTGTCTGTCAACGGCTTTCCATACCATACCATAGGCCCAGTGCTAGGGTGGTTTTCCATGGATGTTGCAGTAGGCCCATTTTTGTAGTGTCTTCCTGGAGGGAGAGTCTGTAAAAAGTCTGATGAAGAGTGGAGAGTTCTTTATGGGAGCAGTTAGTAGGGTGTAGAGGGGCAGAGAGTTTTCGATGGAGGGTGGAGAGTTCCTTATGGATCAATGGATGAGATGCAGCAAAACAGGGGCTGGTTTGGTAACCTGGGGGGGGGGGGGGGGGGGGGGGGGGGGGGGCGCCTCACCTGGGTTTAAGACCTAGTGAGTGAGCTGCCTCGCCTAGGTTTGGGAAGAACCTAGAGAGTGAGCTGTCCTAGCTTATTTAGACTCAAAGTCTAAGATAAGCTGCTGCCTCAGCTGCCCGATGGCACTGAGTGAACTTATGGGGATTTGGCTTTTTCTTGTCCTCCCTCTGATGGTGGATTGGTCCCTCTGAACAGCTTACAGTGGGATGCGTGGATCCAGGTAGCTCGCTCAGCCACCTTGACAGCTGTGTGGGTTGTTAATAGCACCTGGAACGGTCCTGTACACCTGGGAGATTTCTACCTTTTCCTCCTGAAAGATTTAATCATAACAAAGTATCCAGGGGTTATGTCATGCAATTGTTCTTGAGCTGGGCTGGGAAGCCCTCCTTGGACCTGAGACCTGAGGGATTTTAAATGGTTAGTCAATTCAATGCAGTAGGCAAGCATGTTATGATCACAGTGTTTCAGGTCATTAGTTGGGCTGGTCGCAGTTCCCACTCCCAGGTTGGGTGGTGCTGCAAATAACATTTCTAAAGGGCTAAGGTTATGTTTAGCCCTTCTGCACATGCACATGTACATCAGTGCAATGGGTAAACATGTAACCCAGTTGAGTTTTGTCTCGTCGCACATTTTTGTCAGTTTGTTTTTCAATGTTCCATTCTCTCTTTCTACTGCACCTCCACTTTGTGGGTGGTATGCACAATGTTTAGTCAGGTCAAAATTCAGTGTGGTAGATACTTCTTCAAGTATCTGAATAGTAAAATGTGGACCGTTGTCACTAGAAATTCTTTGTGGGATACCCCACCTTGACACCACTTCTTGCAACAGAATTTTTGCAACTGTGCTGGCTGTGGCATGTTTTGTGGGGAAAGCTTCAACCCATTTGGAAAACATGTCCACTATGACCAGACAGTATTTTTTGTTTTGAACTGGTGTTAGTTCAATAAAGTCAATCATCAAATGTTGAAATGGTGCTGTAACAGTTTTGTGGGCTCCTGGAACTGTTGTTTTTATTGTTTTTGAAACATTGTGAGTAGCACACATGAGACAGGAGTCACAATGTTGGGCCGCTGTTTTAGAAAAATTTACAGTAAACCAATCAGCACTAATTTGTCTCAACATCCCTCCCTTTGACACATGATCCAAAGAATGTGTCAAAACAGCAAAAGAGGGGAAAAATGTTTTGGTAAGCATGGGTTACCATTTGGGCCAATCCAGATGTTTTCAGAAAAAATACAGCCGTGTTTTTTCCATTCGGCTTTTTCACTGGCAGGAGCAAACCTTTGCATGTCAGAAACAGAGAATGGCACATAGGGTTGTGTGTGTGTCTGAGTCAGAGTGAGAGGTTGTGTGAGAAGTGTGCAGGCTGCAGCTTTAGCAGCTTCATCAG